GCCAGTGCTGAGGCTCTTGGTGGCCTCAAGGAAGGGCTTGAGGACCACCAAGATCTGGGAGATGGTATCCCACTCAGGGCTGCTGATCCCAATCTCCCCAAGCAAGGCCATCTCATGGATGGCCTTCTGTTGTTCCACCAGCCTCTCGATCACCAGGTATGTGAAGTTCCACTGCGTCTCCACATCCTACATAATGTGTTGTGGGTGGTTCAGCTCTGTTTGTTTGTCCTGCAGCATCTCACTCCCCTTGATTCTCCGGTGGAAGTAGCCTGTCACCTTCCTGCATTTGGAATTTGAATTATTATTTGTCGGAGTTCTTCTTGGGTGTTGATTCAGTTCTTCTTGGGTGTCAGCTAAAGCTGCGACAGCTTTTGAAAGATCTTTGTGGCCTTCACTGAATTCGTGAGCTATGATTTCTATTACGGCTTGGAGGCGTAATGTAAATCTTTTAAGACACACAGTGCCTATTCCTGGGAGCATACCTGCAAGGGAACACTCAAGTAATATTTTTTTGGTAAGTGGAGTTGTTTGATATTTGTTTACTATATCACGGCTGTCACAACCCAAAGGTGTGATTTTTGTTTTCGTGTGTGCTTTGGCACCACTGAATTATTTTCCCGCCAATTTGTAGCTTTCTTTGCAGTGTGCATTTCTTCTTTGCAGCACAGAGATGCACGGTGCAAAGAGTTCCCGCCATTTGTATTCTAATTCGAGCCCCATTATTGGCTTGCATTAAATTATTCACGCGTGGCGGCTAGTGATTGGCTTGCTAGCTGTATAAAAAGCTTGAGTGGTTTCCGCCCAAGTTGGAGGACTCCACGAACATCAGGAGAGGACTCCACGAACATCAGGAGGAGGAGACTTCACACTGTGTGAAGATCTCTAAGCGCTGCGGAGCCTATCGGACCCAGCGCATTTCAAGCAGGCAACTGAGGTCTGACCAGCCTCTAGCCTCTCCCCGTCGCCATTCACAATCCTTCGATGTACCCCTCTCCCTGCGCGCAAAAGGATCCACGGAGCCTCGACAACTCCGTGGGAGTGATCCGAATATTGTCTGAGTCCTCAAACGAAGATTTAAGCGGAGCTGTAACTGGGAAACTGTCCAGCCTACACCGCGACCATCTTCGGTGTAAGTAAACAATCTTGAATCAACCATTACGCGTCCGTGACTAATTCTAGCGTGTCGCCTGTTTTCTCCGACCCAGCGTGCCCGGGCTGCTGGCCACAGCCCGCGCGGAGCACAAAAAGGGCCTGGATCGCTCCCGGCCCACACACTGAGAATATTTTAAACAGCTTAAATTCAGTTTGTATCTTCACTCTCAAACAATTGCACAGCTTTGTTGTAATCAAGTGCTGAGCATCATGTACTGAATCTGTAGTTTTTCATAAATTAATTTCATTTTGTCTTCTTCTCAAAGGGATATAATGCCAGGATTACTACAGCTATTCCAACATAGAGCCTACACTAAGTTTAATAATTAATATAGAATGGCAAATAGAATCATCAGTATTCAATAACATGTTCAGTTAAAACCAATGCACTCAAAACATCTTGTTAAAGGCTATCTGATTTGCATACAAAACTTCTATTCTGAATGCATTTCGATTCTTATTTATATTTATATGCCAAAATCTGCAGATACCCCCTAACCCTTTGCTACTTCCCTTGCTCTGCCACTGGACACTAAGAAGAACAAAACAAAAGGATGGAATAGAGATATATGCAAAGTGCTGCACCTAGGGAGGAAAAATGTCCAGCATACCTACTGCCTAGGAAATGACCTGCTGGGTGGCACGGAAGCGGAAAGGGATCTTGGAGTCCTAGTGGACTCCAAGATGAACATGAGTCAGCAGTGTGACGAAGCCATCAGAAAAGCTAATGGCACTTTATCGTGCATCTGCAGATGCATGACGAATAGATCCAAAGAGGTGATACTTCCCCTCTATCGGGCGCTGGTCAGACCTCAGTTGGAGTACTGTGTGCAATTCTGGGCACCACACTTCAAGAGGGATGCGGATAACCTGGAGAGGGTCCAGAGAAGGGTCACTCATATGGTTAAGGGCTTGCAGGCCAAGCCCTATGAGGAGAGACTAGAGAACCTGGACCTTTTCAGCCTCCGCAAGAGAAGGTTGAGAGGCGACCTTGTGGCTGCCTATAAGTTCATCACGGGGGCACAGAAGGGAATTGGTGCGGTTTTATTCACCAAGGCACCCCTGGGGGTTACAAGAAATAATGGCCACAAGCTAGCAGAGAGCAGATTTAGACTGGACATTAGGAAGAACTTCTTCACAGTTAGAGTGGCCAGAGTCTGGAATGGGTTCCCAAGGGAGGTTTCCTGCCTATGCAGGGGGTCAGACTCGATGATCTATTGAGGTCTCTTCCGACCCTAACATCTATGAATCTATGCTGTAAGAGGGGGATGCAAACTAGCCCATGTCTGGAATTGGCTCAAACTGCTTAGTCACGTTGCATTAGAGAGAACTCCATTGGTATAAGCCCTGAATGAAGGTAGACATGGCAGGGGCACAAAGAGTTGTTTTTGATATAAACAAAAAGTATATGTTCTGTATCCTGTAGGCTCCCTCTGTGCTTACTTCCACCCCCTGGGTGTGGCTACATGTGCGACTGACTGTGCAGTTGTTACTGTGCAGTCATTTCGTATTTAGGGATGTAGCTTTAGCTCTAGCAAGTACTAAATGATTGCACAGCAACTGCCATTATTGCGTAGTCCTGGTGGCACACAGGTCATTTCCAACCGTGCTGCATAGTAGCAATGAGTTACTGTGCATTGGTGTCATGGTTTGTGCCCGCTACTATGTTGCCATAGCAATGAGCTACAGCAATGTAGCATCTCATGTCAATGTGCCCCGTGGCAACTTAGTGGTAATAATGATCATGATGATTCTCAGCATAACACAACTTTTCTATTCCCTACCTGAAAAACTTCTATCTCACTTACTATAGAATCTCCAATAGTCTGATAGCTGTAGCCCAGGAAATACAGCACAGATATTCAAAAGAGCCTAAGTGTCCTAGGTGTTCAACTCCCACTGGAATATGTATAAAAAAATCTCAGCCTACATCCTATGCAGCAGGGGTGGGTAAAATATAGCCCCACCCCAGCCAAACCCAGTGCCCCGCACTGCAGCTGCTTGCAGCAAACATGGGGTTGCCTGTGCCCGCTCCAGACAGCTCCATGCAGGCTGCAAGCGCCTGCAGTGTGGGGCATGGGCCGTGGGAGGGGCTGCTCCTCCCCTGCGCTCCGCTTTTCCCCAGGCTTCTTCCCTGTGTGGAGAAAAACAGCCCCTGGTCCACTCCATGGCTGCGAGTGGCTGCAACGCAGGGCGCCGGACATGGGGCAGGGAGGGGCTGCTTTCCCCACGCCACTGCGCTCAGCACTACCTTGTAACCTAGCCCCACTGCCAGGCTGGCAGTGGGACAGGTTACACGCTGGTGCTGAGCATGAGGAAAAGTGGCCCCTTGCCTGCCTCATGGCCAGCACCCTGTGCTGCAG